ACGTTACGGTTTTTACACTTTTGTTTTTAAATTATCCCATTTAACTTGTTTGTCTTAGTGACTGGAAACAAGAGAGCATCGAGTCAGGTGACGTCACGCTGTAACTGGGCTGCGTGTTAGTTATTACTGTGAAGGATGCTCGGAATTTCATTATCTCAGTTTCTGATAAACACAAACACCTGAAGATGATTAGTTTAGGTTTTAGGGTACCTTTATTTATAGATACTTTAATTATTAATTTATGAATAATAGACGTGTTTTTAAACAAAATTTTGGCCGTGACTTCGTCCGCCCGGAATTAGACTAAGATCTATATTCTATGAACCATTAGTGCTATTCATTCCATTGTCTCAATTTTGAACTAAAAGTTTTATCTCCGTGTCTTTTCCTCGACCACATATCCTGGAAACCTCGCATGAGTTGCAGCACAGTTGAACCACACGTGCACGATTCAAGTTTGAGATATTTAAGCCGATGCGAACTAATCCGTGGAAAACTTAAACCGTCGATAACTGGAAGCGAGTCACGTCGCACATTACAGCTCGTCCAAACTCCCTCCGCGAACAAAACTGCTCTTTCCACATTACGAATTTATCCCGCACTCGGCTGGGAACTGCCGGCGATGTATCGGCGCGGAATGCAGCCGGCAGTATCCGCCTCATTATCATGTTGATACGCTCAACCCGTTAAATGTTTCAGCCTTTGTACACCCGATTCATTTTTAAACTATGATTGTACTCTCAATATGTATCGAAATTTGTATTTCAAAAGAGTCAGATTGCTTAAAACAATAACAATATGTTAATACAACTGCCACACGGAGATTAAATACTTAAGCTCCTTATACTGGGTTTCTGAAGTTTCCATTTATTTTATCATTATCTAGTGATTCATTAGCGTTAGGTTGACCTTTCCTTCAACAGAGTTAAACTGTAGTTACGTAGTTCAGAAACGCAGTTCAAGTAGCTGGGAAATCGGCCATTAAATGACCACTTATTAATGGTGTATACTAAACATACATTGAAAAAACCTTAAGGGACCTTTAAAAAACACTGAGTGATGAAGAGATGGGAATTAAAGTCTTAAAAGTGGGGAAAAACAAAACACTGTCTAAACTTCGAATTTGAAAAGCAGCGATCATCAATCTCTTCAGTGTTCAATTACTACTCGTATTACAAAGAGCCTTGAACTTCGCAGACAGCGTTCAAAGTATTTCTTTTAAATTTATGCGCAGCTTAGCTTAGAACTGTTAAGCAAACTGAAACCTGTATATTTATTTCAATTTTATTTAAGAAAAACTTGAGTTTTAATAGTTTAGGGTTTTCTTCTTTTTTTGCAGTTATGAAAGAAATGAAAATTTGCATGAAAACTTTTGTTTTAAAAACATAACTATCGGAAAATATCTTCGTTACAAAAACAAACTGTATTATGTTTCACGATTTATTAATACTTAGCTGATTTCTCTGTTAAAAGGTTTGTAACTATAACAACAAACGTACGGATGATACGAGATGAAACGGTTTTTATAAGGATGCAACTAAAAGTGTGCGTTTTATTTGTTCCTTTACAAGCAGTAGAAATGCTGGGAAGTATCTTGTTACCGCGGTAACCAAAGTTGACATAACATTTTGCAATATTTCACAATTTGAGTAAGAGAAAGATAACTGAGCGCACACTTTGCGTTTACTAAAAGCGGAAAAGGCTTAGCCAGTTTGCATCCACAATTTTAATTTCATGTTAAAAACATAAGCTTAATAAACATTGTTACCTAGCAATAAACATATACCTTTATTTTATTTTAATCTCACAATATTTATCTCATAGATGCTTCAACTCGTTATAGATTTGACAGCTATATTTGGTTCAGGAAATTTTACCTATCAAATAATATCAATGAATAAAAATCTTAGTTCCACGTAAATGTAGACGTGATCCGAATTATCTAATATTGATAAGTTTTGATAAGTGATGTTAAAGAATTCATTGCGCTTCCGTATGTATGATTTAGATAGACATCTAGCGGCAGGAAGTGACGTCACAACCACTTTATATTCAGAGTATTCGATTGGTGCTGCAAAATGCGCTGTGAGTATTGACTTGGATTGGAATTTAAAATATATCGATTGCGGTAAGAGGAAAGAAGGGAGGGGGCAGATGAAATATTTGAACTGCTCGTTTTTTTCCAATTGCCCGCCCGACGAGCAGCTGAGGCGGTTGTAAAAATGATACGTGACTCGTACGAATAGAGTTAAACCAAGTATAGTTGGGTAAGGAGTAAGTAATTAAAAAACAACTTTAATAGCATCTTTGATAATGATCGTGGCAATCGTTTTCATTTCATTGGAAAATGGATATAAAATCCGTCTAAAAGTTGACATAATATTAAGTTTCAATTTAGTACTGTATCAGATGATGTGATCCTTATGTTCTGCGTCATTAGTGTCAAAATTGTGCAATCACAAGTGTTACCATAATTATTTACATTTAAATGTTGGCAGTTAAAATAAAAATGGCATTACATCGTATTATCGCGTTCAGTCGCGGCACTGATGGCACAAAATTGATCATATTTCGTTATAAATGCATTACATGCAGGCATTATGGAATCGCGGCGGCGGGCGGCGCTACGGCGAGGTTTGCGGTGTCCATTTATAAAGGCAATCAGATTACACAGGCCTCATGCGTGTGAAATTCTTAACTTTACAATTGTTCAATTATTTCACAGTAAAAGTAATTGCAACACTTTTTAAATTATTTTATAAATTGGGGTCCACCCAGTTCATATATTGAAGGCACACACACAAGTGCACGTCAAGCATCCAACTTGTTTGTTCGTATTTATTATAATTTCTTTTCTTTTTTTGTAAGAATGTAATGATACTAAGGTACTTATACATACTTTCTTTTCATATTTCCAAAGTTTCGAACTATCAACTCGTGATAATACAATTGTGTTGGATTAACTACCAGTCCACAGTTACTTAACAACGAAATGAAATCGTTAAATTAATCATACACCGTACAACATTAAAATGATGTATTCACTAGCTATCTTTTACACGATCCATTGCGAATGTTCATTTCTTGTTTGTTTCTTTTTCCCTAGTCACTTTTATTCCACACTTTACTGTCTCCCTCAATCCAGCCACTCTCTTCCCTTGCATCCGAATTTACGAATTAAACGTGTATTTTGTTTTAAACCTTAACGCTGGAGGTGCATAGTTCATTTTACTTTAAAGATGAATTTCCTGCAAAGTTTTTGCTTTTCATTGCGACGACGGAATATGATGCAGAAATGTAAAATGTAAGGACAATTGAGTGGAGAGGGAAGCGCAAATGTGTAGCGCGGACTGGTCTTTGTCTTCGCCGTCAAATAATATTTTTTTTTCTCCGCACAGAGCTCTTTTTAGGATTTGCTGTAGGATATTCTGTTTTGCGCGGGAAACGTTGTTGTACTTTTCATTTCTTTTAAACACGAGGTTTATATGATTTGTTAGGTTAGATATAGTTTTTCCTAATTCTACCAATACTAGCTTTGGTTTTATTAAAATTTTATGTGCTAACTATTTTAGCTAGATTCAATATAAACTGCATTTAACATATATGCAATGCGACCTGCAATACAAATTAATCTGGGAGTTAAAACATTAGCTTTCCGGTGAGTTTAATATAATTTTCTCATCCGACGCAACATCGTCTTTGTTAGTTTGACTGGAAACTTGCCTTTGTTACGAAGATTTTGTCTACAAACAAGCTGAACGAAGTTTGTGATATGCTAAACTTGTGCAATAAATGTTTTACTATCAAACATTTGAGCGGAGAATAATGTAAATTGTATTGTATAGATATCTAAAGGTCCTGTACCTGAATAGTTTTGTATAGTTAAATTTAGGACGTACATGTATAGTGCAATACCATTATCTACAGTATCGTAACAATTCAAGCAAGTGTCAGAGCATATTGTTCCTGGGGGATGAGCGTATCGGCCAGCCAAGACGCACGGCGACTGTCCGCAAGAGATTTACGATTCAAACTATATTTACAGCTTAGTTTATGGTCCTGAGGGACGTGAATATCGGTAATTGTACACTGTAACTGTAATCTTGTCAAACTATCTAGTAATAACATTACAAAACAAATACTAAATGCAGTACATACATAAACTTTAGACTAAAAGCTATTTTTAACTAGATTTTCATTATAAACCGACATGCAAATTTAAACCAAACATATCAAATAACAAGCAAAATTCAATATTTAAGAAAATTTAAACGTCGCATGAAACATTCATTTCGTCAGTGTGTCGTTCCGCTCGGGTTGACGTTAGATAAACAGTAAATATTTCGGTGGACTGCATCAAAGTGGACGATAAGCCTCGGATCCAATATCGGCGGGCAAACAAAGGTTTACAAGAGTTTAGGCCACGCCCACGCCCACGTCGCTCGCTGCATATTCATCGCGTCCAACAGTCAACAGAGTAGCTACAAAGAGCTAGTTATTTTTGTTGCTTGAATGTATACGAAAAACTGATTGTTTTATCCTTAATTGGTTGCCAATTTGAATACTACGTAGAATAAAAAATCTAAAAATATAGAGGTAGTTCTTTGGTTGTAAATAAGACAAATTAAAAAATTATGTCGTAATAGATTTTAAAAAAGTAACTTTAATTCTTGTTAATTCTTTATTATCAGTAGAACTCAATGAACGCAGTATAATTTCAATGTTCTTCAAGTGTTTTTAGTTTTTATAAATGAATTAATGAAAATTAAATCGTAGAAAAAGTTTTGTTTCAAATTAATTGGCTCCTAGTCTATACAGTACGCGTCACTTGCCGATGGCCGGCAGCGGGCGGTGTCCCGAGCATTTTCACCTCGCTTTAAATTTACATAACACCTTCACAAGCTCACCTATAAAATGCTCCAAAGTTTACTGTCAAAATTTAATTCGGATCATAGCTGTTGCGAATAACTATGTGTTTATTACATTAAAAAAACATATGTTAAATTCATATTTAATATTTAATAATCACATTTCTAACTTCAATAACAAAATCAAATTATGAGAATATTTTTCAGATGTTATACAAATATTTGTACTTGATAATCCAATCCTCCGCCACGTTCACTCTTCAGTTTTATATTAGCGAAAGTGGAGCCAACGCCGCCCGCAGTCACCGTCGCCTTCGCTTTCGAGTTGAGGGAATCTATGGCCGTTATACCCTGGAAAATTAGAATAATGTCAATAATTGGCTCATTTTAGAGACATCGAGACTCACAACAATTAAAAGGAAGTGAGAAAAAGTTAAACCTGTATGAAAAAGTTTTAAAAACTGAAATTTACTAGTATTAATTCATTTTTGCTTGGTCGTGTTTTATAATTAGCAACCGAGTATAAGAATTCTCTTAAATCGAGGTACCGAAAATAAATTTTTATTTCTTTATACATTAACATACTAAAAGCATTGAATAGTAATACTTTTCAACTTCCTTCTGTCTACATCGATGTTAATCTGTAAATTTGTTACAAAAAAATACAACCACATACCTTTATAACTTTAGGACTGGTTTCATTTGTGTAGAATACATTTTTCGTCCGTACTTTAAATGGTACAGCCGACAATTTTACATTTTTCACTAATGCCAATGAACCGTTCACGCTCGTACCTAAATTAAGATGATCAGTGCTTACATATCCAACAAAAATTACACTAAATAATAGGACAGACACTGAAAATAGTGACATTTTTGATAACCAGAGCTAATGCCTTAACAGAGTAACGTTGTGAATAAATGTAAGAAACACAGTGAGAGTTTTATATTGGAGCAAATAGAGAAATATGAAGTGCTTCTGTGAATCATAGCGTCCGATCTTATCATGACAACGTATTATCTATTGTCATTGATATTTCTGAAAAGCAAATACATTCTGAGTAATCTCAGATAAAAATAGTTGCATAAATATCTTGGGACATTTGTTTTTTAATATGTATAAATTGGTTTTGAGGTGGGAAATGGTGATAATATGCTATTATAAAATGTCAAGTTTGATTTTGTAGTTATGTCAACTACGAAGAAATGCAGTAGAAATATTTTTGTCTTTCGTAAGAATAGATTAGCCCGTTCTTTTTTATTGGAAATAAAATCAACAAAGCAAATAAACTGGTATATCTATTCGATATTTCGAAAGATATTGTTGACAAAGAATTTAATAAAGCAACCAGTTAGGAATAATGAAGATAAGATTTTATCATTTTTGTATTAAAGGGAAAATATTCTACTTTTGCGTTAAAGATAAGCAATTATGAGCAATTAAGTTATATCAATAAATATGGATTAATCAAGTTCATCAAATGATAACGGGTAAGTACTTTCAAGTTGTGTCAGACTGACTAACAAATAAGTTTGTAAAAAATTATGCTTATCCAACTATACAGTTCTGCAGGAGATAATCTTACCTATGCTAAGGAGGTTGAATCGAATAAAAAAACAAATAAAGGAGGTAACGCTATTATCCATAAAATATGGCGACGTAAAATATAGCCGTGAGAAATTGTTTGGTGCTCTCTAACGGCTATGAAATATATTCAGAAGTAAATAGTCCGCACCACAAAGAGATACGTTCACCGAGATGGATACAGTGTACGATGTACAGTGCGCCACGCAGCGCGGTCATTACTTTTGTTTTACGACGCGATAACGTGTCAGCACTTTATAACAAAACTTTTAGTGACGCTATACATCGTTTTAATAATGAATTGTGAACGAAGTTTGCTATGTATCCACACAAACTTTTGTAATGGAATTTTATTGGTACTATTCCATGCATATTCATCATAGAGTTTTATTAAAAAGTGTATTAAAGATTGCTTAGAAATCCACCAAACACTGCTATAAATAAATTTATTCATATAAATAATCCTACACAGGGAATTACGAACTGTGCTTTCTACGCTTATAAAAATAAAAAGGTACAGCTTAATTCATCTGTACTGGGACTTATAGGGTTTTAAGAGAGGAACGAAATTTTCTCAATAGAGAAATAAGTTTACAGTTAATCTAGGTAAATCTTTAAGAGGTTTTTTTTTAAAGTGGAGATCGACCAAGTGGGCGATGAATTATAACCTTATCATATAAATAAGGATTTAAGAGGGCATCCGAATAAATTCCCGCGAGACACCGCCAGAGCTCACAGTATTATTTTACGTGCAATTTGTTTGTTTTTATTGCGTTCGTAAGCCCGAGCTCCGCCGGCATTAATATTACAACGCTACGGTGCCTGTGAAATTCGATATTTTTCATTTCTCCCCGCACTTTTTTCTATTGAGTGTACTAAGATTACCATCTTTTATCGGCTACTTCTTACGATTTCAACGTTCTTTTCGTCATTGATATTTAATAGTTTTTTAAATGCTGTATATAATACCCGCATGAAATTGTGACAATTTTATTTTATTGTTTACATTTGTCAAATTATTAATAGTCAATGTCAAAATGTCATGAACTTAGCAAACTTGCTTTCTTGATGTTGGCAGCAACTTATGGTCTCTTTCCCACATTAGGGTTTTTATCCAAAATATTTATCCCCTAAGTTTCATGTCGTGAAAATATACAGCCTAAAGCGTGACGTAAGTGTAGGTTTTTTTTTTATTAAAAAACAATTATTCAAAAATATGCTGTAATTGCTGACATCTTAGGCAACAAAGAAGTGTGTTTATACTTTATTATAATAGTATAGATTAAAATAAAATGTTTAAATAACGATAAGAAATTAAAGTCGTGGCAATAAAAGCTTATGTAATTTTGCTTCAATAACAAAAATCAACTTATTTCCGTTATCAACCCTTGAATATGACATTTGATTGTAATGTACTCAGAAAGGGTGTAGGAAGGAGGGTTAATAACAAAAATATGGGGTAATCGCACCAACTTTGCCTCTTTTCGGCAGCGCGAAGTGAAGTTACGCATAATTAAATAGTGATTAAGGCTTTCCGGGTGTGTTCACACTGAGCTGCTCCAAGTGTTTTGTTAACTTTAAATGTTTAAGCTATTTGTCCTATTAATAAGCCAACATAAATCATAAAGGGATCAACGTTTTATCGAAAGATTTGAACAAGACTTCTAGCCTTTATTTTACAAAGGCGTCAACGTTTAATTTTGCATATTTAAGTTTGTAAGAGGGAACAAACCTCAGTAATCAATCCCAATATCTTGTGAGTTTTCAACAACTTTTGATAAGAATGTTATTATGGAGTATTTTGAACGCATTCTACACTTTTTAAATGTATAACGTATTTCATATGTAAAACTATTGGAATATTTAAATGTATACCTAAATAAAAAAAATAGAACAGTTTTTAGTATCACAATGAGAGCATTTACTTTACAAGATGAAAATTACGGGCATGACATTACGGTTTTGCATTAACCCGAAAATAAGAGCTAATTGGCAAAGGGGTACGTACCAATATTATAATTAATACGTAACATTACATGTCATTAACAACACTAGCAAAATGTAAGTTTTAAATAGATTGAAACAATTGAATTATGAACAAATTCCAAGAACTCATCATTCACTTGTTTTTATATTCTGTGGTAATCTCACAGTTCTATAAAAGAACACAAAATCGCAACAAAATAAATGTCTGTATTCCCGTGAGTATCGACTAAACACCGTAATAGGTTCAGAGCGAAGGGCCAATGAAGTGCTCTACGGTTAGCCGAGCGCACTCGCCGGAAGGGCCCTCGACTCGAGACCGACATCGTCCAATAATAGCAATAGCCCGAAATAATCAACTCAAATCTAAACCTTTACAAGTTAAATCTAAATATATTAAGAAACGATAAAATCTTTTTAAGTTATTGTCACATTTATTGCGAAACTTTTGACGTAAAAACTGCATTTCTTGATGTAATAAAAAACAAAAGAATAAAACAAGGTAACTTCAATGAAGTAATTCAAGGAGATGTCCAGTCCTTAATAAAGATAAGACGGGGCTTATTAAAAAAGAACAACAGCAGGTAAACAAGTGAATACCCGATAACTATCTTATTTGAGACAAAGGCAGTCGCTAACAAAAGCAGGCCGTATCGTATTTTTTATCCTGGAAACATTGCAGAGGCAGTAGCGACGTAAGTTACAATTTTAAAGCGAATATTGTTTTTTGAATTTTTATTGTATTTCATTTCTGCAAATACACACATGTGCCTAGAAGACTAACAGCCGAACTTAATTAACGGTTACTTAAAAGTGGCTTAGTGTTAATTAATAGTGCTGTACATACGTTAGGAGAATGTCTTAGTGAATATGACTCTGAGTGTTGTAAGAGAAAAATCAGCAACATTACTAACTTTAGTCCTTATCATACACGCGAAGTTTTGAATTTTAATAATTACGAAATACTGCATTTTGCTGCAAATTATGCATTTTATGTAATTACGTCTGTGATCTATAAACCACTGTCGTACTCATAATCATTACTGGAGTACCTTAGTCTTGTTTTAATTTGAGAAATTCACAGTGTTTTTAAAAACTCGTTAACTACACTGAAAGTTACGCGTAAATTTATTTCCAATTGCAAAGACTTCATAATAAACCAGTAAAGAGAATATTAATTCCCCGCATACTAACATATTCTCTATCCTCTACAGCAATAAGCGATTAACTGTTAACAATAGGCTTGTAAATTAAGCTAAATTGATTATAACTTAGCTCTATTGTGAAGGTTCTCGCTACATCTCTTGCGCCACGGAGCGGTACTGAAGCCTTCGTGCGACTCTCAAGTTCACAATAGGTGGCGCTGTCATCCGCAGCCGCTGCTCTTTATAACTTAAAACAATAATACCAGGTTTATTTGGAGCGAACTCGAAGCTGTATCGCTATTTGGAAATATAATTGTGTGCAATTAAATACGTGTTTTCAGAGGTCTTAAAGACAAGGGCAGTTTTAGTTGAGTTCGCCATAGTACACTCTACCTACAAATTCGAGTCTTAGTACTAATGACTAATTTAGAAAACCAACTGTTTATAGGTCGGTTATTAGGTTTGACTTCAGTTTTATAATTGTTATAATGATGCATAAAGATTAGAAAAAATACAGCGTTCTTTTATAAGAATTCATTTTGCAACACACAACTAAAATAGGTTTGAATTTAAACGTGTAGAGGCTCGTTTTAAATCCCACCGTCGCTTTGCTGTGATCCACGTGGAATGCCCTAATTAACTTTGAACACAAGTCTTCTTTTCACCCCGCGGGAAAACGTTGCTCGTAATTTTTCTGTGCCGATTTCTTTTGCCAGCATTATTTTTATTTTTATAAATAAAATTCTATAGACCCGTCATTTCCTTTTTCAATTCATTTAGGTTAATTTCATTTTTTTTATTACTTAGTATTTAACAGTTAGACGGAATGTAAACAAATAAATATGATATTATTATCTGTTTATTGAGAATAAGTTTTAATTATTAATGAACGTATTAAACTAACTTTAGCATGATAAAGTATAATCGATAAATTGATTGTCCGAATCCGCGGCTACAATGCTCAAATGCTTCACTTCGCTTGTCTATACAATTTAACAAACTTCAGTTTAGTTTGAAACATGAAAATAAAACTGGCAGCTAACTCCGCAGACTGTGAATTTAAAAACAAATATTGATTTTCTAACAAATATGCGTCCGCACAGAATTTGTTACCCTTTGTTTAGCGCCTTTTACAGCTGGATAAATACGGGTCGTCTCTATGCATATCGGCGATCTCATTTCACAGTCGCACTATGAATATTGGCTACTGTTTTATTTATGTTTCAGTCTAGACCG